GGGAAATCGGTGTAAAACCGGGAAAGGAGCCTCGGGGAGAGAGGGAGGAGCCCGTGGGGGCGGGAACGGGTCGGGCACGGTGAGCTAGTGAGCTGTATATATCCCGGTTTTTAAGCAGTGCTCGCCCGCCAGCGCGGAGCGGCTCCTTCCCAGACCTGCCCCAGGTAAGTGCCTGCCCCTTGCTCCCGTGTTTCCTCAGGACTTGCTCCTTCTGTTCCCGAAATTGATGCTTCTCAGCCCAAAAGTTCCCTAAATCGCTGCTTTGGAGCTCCAAAGCTTCCTAAATAGGGACTACAGAGGCCAAAATTGGCATGAATTGGTTTTTTGGAGCCCAAAAGCTCTCTAAATTGTTCTTTTTGCTCTGAAAATATCCCCAAATCACTCTCCCTGATTCCAAAAGCTCCCAACATGATTTTTTTCTCAGCCTTGAACTCCCCAAATCAGGGTTTCATGGGCCTGTGTGTCCCTAAATTGGTGTCTGAGAGCCCCAGTGCTCCCTAAATCAGTATTTCTGAACACAAATGCTGTTTCGGGTCCCAAAACGCCCCCAGGTGGGTGAGCCCCAGTGCTCCTGAAACTCTTGTATTGACAACTGTGAACTTCCCCAAATGCCAATTTCTGAGGCCAAAAGTGCCCTGAAATGGTATTGCTGAGCCCCAAAGTATCCTCAATTGCTGCTTTTGAGCCCTGAGTCTCTGGAGACTGATTTTTCTGAGCCGTGAAGTTCATTAAGTTGGTGTTCCTGAGCCCTGAAGCTCTCCAAGTTGCTTTTCCTGACCTGCAAAGCTTGCTGAGATCCCTTTTTGTGTACTGCAGTTCCTTAAACCTGTGCTTCTGAGCCCAAGAGCTCCCTAAATTGGAATTTTGAGCTGAAAAGATGCCTAGAGGGGACTTTCTGAGGCCATAAGTTTCCCAAATCATTGGTTTTGAACCAAATGCTCCCTAAATTGGTGTTTCTCAGCCTTAATGCTGCCTAAACTTTGGGCTTGTTCAGAGCCCAAAATCTCTCTAAATCGTTTGGGACCCCAAAGCTCCCTGAATCACTGAATCTCAAAGCTCCCAAACTGGCAGTTTCTTAGCTTAAATGCTCCTGAGTGGGAGTTTCTGAAGCCTGAGAACCCAAAATTGCTGGTTTCAATCTCAAAATCTGCCTACATTATTTTTGTTCGGAGCCAAACCCATCCCTAGATGGTTTGGAAGGCTGTGCCTGAGTGCTGGTGGAATGCAATAGAAGGGGAGTGTCAGGGAGGATGAGGATGTGAAGAGCAGCTGGGACACCTGGAGATCCTCAACAGGATGGGCTGTTTTGTGTGAGTGAGCAGTGGAGGGGTCAGAAAGGGGAGACGCTGCCTTGGCAGCTCAGAAACTCCCTGATCATCAGGGAGAGTTGGCAGGAGAGCTCTGAGGGCAGCCTGGAGGGGTCTCCAGCCAGTGAGCAGGATCCCATGGGAATGGCAGCTGCCCTGGCATCCATGGCCAGGCAAAGCAAAGGGCTCCAGCAGCGTGGGGATCCGGGAGCGATGGCTCAGCAGAGCTGCCTGGTGCGTGAATGGGGGGTGCTCACGGGGAGCTGCTCCTGCCCCACACAGGGATGAGCTCCTCAGTGCCAGCCTGGGCTGTCACAGCCGGGAAATAGCGGGGTCCAGGCACCAGGGGCAGGGACTGAGGCCGGCAGCAGAGCACACAGCTGGGGCTGCAGAGAAGGCTTTGATGGACAGAACCAGGTGGTGGCAGGGGCAGCAGCTGCAGAGGGTTCCCATCCCCACGGGCTCCTCCCTCCCCTGCAGCACCTCCTTTCTCGGTTTGACACCGATTTCCCGTAAATGCCTGTCAGGAAATCTGAGAGGCGGTAGGAATGGTCTCTCCAAGAGCCAGGAGTAAAGCACTCCTCTCCTGAGGCTCTCGGCTGAACTGACCAGGGTGAAAGGGCAGCGATTGGGAGGTGGAGCACACGGGCCAGCAGCCAAGCAAGGCAGCAGCACCCCGGGGCTGTGTGAGCAGGAGCCCAGCCAGGGGAAGGGCTGACCCCTGCCCAGCACATTCACACCACACCTGCGCAGCCACAGGGGACTGTGGCACTCAGGAACCACTGCCCTGGTTGTCACTGGGTGGCAATCCTCCTCTAGCTGTCCTTCAAGTGCTGGTGGGGTTTCCTTAAAATATCAGTGTCTGCAGCAACAAAGCCAACAACAGAAGTGTGACCCTGCCCAAACAGAGCTGTCTGCAGCAAAGCAATCTGCACAGTCTGCAGCTGCCCCTGTGGGTAAGGCCAGTGCAATCACTGTTGGCCATGCACAGCAGTGACACACCCTCCTCTCAAGGCTTCCCGGGCAGTGACCGTCCCTGGGCTGGGCACTGCCGAGGGCCTTCAAGTGCTGAGTCCAGTTCTGCCAGAGGGGATTGAGAGGGAAAAGCTCCCTGGACCATCCTGGGGCCTTCACTGGGCTTTGCTGAGGCTTGAAGGAGCCCTGCTGCCCTCCAGGGCCCCCAGGGCTTTCAGTGTCTGCCTCATCAAGGCCCAGCTGTGCTGCAGAGGGTGGGGGAACAGTCAGGAAGGGTTGGGGGGAGACCACAAAGTTAATATTCCATAGAATTCCCATTCGAAGTCCGTTGTCCCTTCCTGCCCAGAGTCTACAGAGACGAATCCAGTCCCTAATTCATTCCTACAAAGAAAAAAAATTGTCAATTCAGGCCTTACTTATTTATTTAATGTTATTTTTGTCCGATAATAAAAATTGTTGCCATTACTCTTGCTACACATTAATTGGGAGAAAAGTAAAAAGTAAGTAGCATGTTGATTAGGACCAGCCTGGATGCCATGAATATATTGGCCAAATGTTTGTTTCTTTGATCTTGGCTGATCAGGAAAAATTTTTAGTCTGAATATAAAATAAATAGTTATTTCATGGAGTGAGTAGAACTTAATAATATAAAATATAAATATTAAAACAGTAACTCAACTTAGCACCCCAGACAAAGCCTAATGAGATTTCAGGACCACTCATACAGTGCTCCTGGATTTAACTCAAATACTGGTATTAATGTTGTATTAGACTCAGTGGAAATTCAAAATGTTTAATTTATTTGGCCTCTGTTGGAGACCAGACTCTGGTGGTCTCTGGCTAACAGAGACATCACTGACAATGCAGAGAGAGAGTTTCTTTTTTTCCCCCCTTTCTCCTCTCTCCCTGTCCCCCTTCATTTTCTTTTTCCTTATCCTCCCCTCTTCTGTCTTTCCTCCTTCATTTTCTTTTTTTTCCTCAAAGCTTCCGCTTTGGCTCAAGACTGCAGATCTGACCCTGCATAAAATAATTCTCCTGTCTAAAGCAGTGGTCAGGGCTCCTTCTAAATATGAGAAAGACAGAGAGAACAATCTGTCTCTGACTGTGAGAAAGGGGGTGACCCATCCCTGGAAGCAGAACCATCTTTCCATGAGTGGTGATCTGAGCTAATATCTGTGTTCATCAGTTATCATTGGCACAGGCACATCCAGGGATGGGTCCACGTGCACATAATCTACTCTTGTTACTGTTTGAGAAGCTGTGACGCTATTGCTCTGTTTTCAGGAGAAAAACCCTCAAACTCTTGAGTGTTTTATGCCATTTATGTGCTTTCCCTCCTTTCAGACCAGAGCAAAACAGGAAAGGTAGTGGGAGGAGACAGAGCAGGATTCAATCCTGGGCAAGCAGCCCTGGCATTTCCCATCTGACCTTCAGGACAACTATGGGCCCTGGGGCTGTGACTTCTCTTGGGTCCCTGCTGGCATTTCTCTATTTCTAATCCTCAGTACCCCCAGTCAGTCCTTCCTCACCTTGGTCTATCCTCCCCTTGAGCACCAGGAAACCTTTCTGGACATGCAGCAGCTTTTGCCAAGGGGCTCCTTAATTCAGTCTGGGTCCTCCTCCTTCTCTGGAACGTGGCCCTGGGCAAAGAAACCAGAAAGCCTCAAAGAGCAGACAGCACAGGAAGTGGAATGCAAGAAGGAGAGGGAAGCAGAGCAGGGCAGCAACCTGTGCCCTGAGCAGACCTTTCCTCACTCCTGAGCACTCCCTGTTTCTGCCTTCACCTCGTCCCTGCTGCTCTGATGGATGTGGTCAGAAGGGACAGGTGGCTTTGTTGGAAGGGTCAGCAGGGCCCTGCTTTCTGCAGCCAGCTGTGCAGAAGAGGATTGTCACAGTGCCCCTCCGAGTGTGTGCTCGGAGTCACCCTGGCTTGCTCTGGCACTGCAGGCAGCAAGAGACACTCTCCAGTTCCTCGGCAGGTTGGGAGAGTGACTGAGGCTTTCACCTTTCAGATGAGACAGCAGCATGATGTTGGTAGAAAAAGGAGAGTGGACTCCAGTTGGGGGCAAAGTCCAGGTTTATTCCTGAGCTCTAACAAGATCCCTAAAACAGCGAGAATATACAGCTGAAGACACCCGACTGGGGCTCTGCAGGGTGTTATAAAGGGGAGAGTAAACCAGGGAGGGGTTTGCCACCTGCCAATGGGGATACAGGAGGGCGAGGGGATCAGGGAAATGGGCAGGTAGGGGCACCAATAAAGGCCACCCAAGGGAGGGGTTCTGGTGTCTGAACCTATCACTCGACGCCCTTGGTAGAAGTTTCTAGAGGAGGGGAAATGGGCTGTCAAGTGATGGACAGAACACTGGGGAGGGGTTAAGGGAAGGGTTCAGCCACTTTTGGGGAAAAGGGGGAGGGAGTAGGGAGATTGACATTAAAAGGATGGGAGGAGTCAGCAGGGGCAGAACCATTCTAACAGGGTGAACTAACAGGGATAAACCAAAGTACAACTCAATGCAACTAAAACATATAACAACACAATTCAACAGAGGACATTTAGGAAATTTCCCAGTCTGACTCTGCCCAAGGCTCTCTGGCCATCAGAGTCCAGCCACCACAGATATTCAGTGCTGGGACTGGAGCCCCTCCACAGCAGTGGCTCCAGTGCCCCAGTGGGCCCTGCTGGACTCCCCACACCCCCACTCCCACCCTCTGCCCCTATGTCCTCCCTGGTTCCAGCCCAGGTTTCCCAGAGCAGTCTCAGATGCCTGATTCCATAAAGCCATTTATTCTCGGTGCAGTAACACAGAACCAGCCTGAGCTGGTGCCTCTGAAGAGGGATCCCAACAAGGGAGCCACTCAGTTTTATCCCCTCACAGTCTGCG